AGAGTTCCAGGGGTCAGCATCTAAATACAATTTTAAATCATCAGTATTCACAGTTTCTTGATTCATTGATTACAAACATTTATTATATGCTTTGGTTACCCCCCCCCCATGACCCCCTTTCTAGCGCTTGCAGTGATGCTTTCTTTGCTCTATATTCCATATGTTTGTCTTCTACATCAATTTCCTCATTTTCAGCCATGATGCAATGTGTTGAATTCAACTTAATAACACTGATTATGTGCTAAATTATGCACTTTATAAAGGTAAATAGTACAACTTACCTTTGAATAAATCCTAGCTACCTGAGCTTAAGCAAATTTACATGTAAGAAAATTAAATAAAATTTATAAAATGTACATTAATACATACCTTTAGCCAGCCTTGGGCTTATCAAAATTAATATTATACAATAATTAATAATCCTTGCCAGAATTTGGCAAAGCAAAATAATATTATACACATTATTATTAATTTACACTTGGACTTATTCAATTACACATAACCGAATAAATCTTGGGGGCCACTGAATTATATTATCAAAAATTAATATTATACAAATACATTAATTTAAATCCTAGGCCACTTTGGCTTTGCAAATTTGAATATACACATTAATATAATTAGCTACACTTGGCTTATCAATTACACATACACTATACACATTAATAAATCTTTAGCCCACACTTGACTTGTCAAATTATATTGTAATAATTATAATCCACTACACATTAAGTAAATTTGTGAACTTAACATCCACTCCCTTCTGTTATTCATATATAATTAATTAAGTAATTAATAATTAATGACTTCCACTAATTACCTTTGGTTCAGAAGGTGCCAAGGGCAAAATTAAATTTGGGAAAAATTGCTTTTATCTGAATGTTTCATTATATACATAACAGTAAATGTACATAGATAATTATTAATTTATAAGACATTTGCCCACTCCACAAAGGGGGGCAGTAAAGCAACTGCAAAGAACTACAAGACGATAGCATAACACCCATATCATTAAAAAATCTTTGAAAGGTCCTAAGAAGCAGATCACCACCAATCTAGAAACCCATCAGTTAAATAACCCAGGGCAAACATGGGTGTAGAACCAGGTCGCGCTCCTGTCTGTCTCAACTATTGGATCACTACTGATCAAGGTTCATAAATGCCTATCTAGAAGACAAAAAAGAATGCAGATGTAATATATACAGACATTGCAAAAGCCTTCGACAAGTGTGACCTGGCGTACAATGCGCACAATTGCGTGCTAAAGGAATAACAAGGAAAAGTCGGTCGATGGTCTATAATTTCCTCAATAAAGAACACAGAGAGTAGTCGTCAACAGAGTAATTCCGAGGCAGCTACGGTGATAAAGCTCTGTTCCACAAGGCCAGTACTCGCTCCCATCTTTTGCCTCATCCTCAAATCCGACATAGACCAAGGATGTCAGCCACTAGCACCGTGTCTCCTTTGCAGATAACACCCGAATCTGCTTGACAGTGTCTTCCATTGCAGACACTGCAAGGCTCCAGGCGGACATCAACCAAATCTTTCAATGGGCTGCGGGAAAAAAAATATGGAAGTTCAACGTGAGAAATTTCAATTACTAGATATGGTAAAACACGAGGAAATTAAATCTTCATCAGAGTACAAAACAAATTCAGGACACAAAATAGAGCGAAACACCAACGTAAAAAGACCTGGGAGTGATCATGTCGGAGGATCTCACCTTCAAGGACCATAACATTGTATCAATCGCATCTGCTAGAAAAATGACAGGATGGATAATGAGAACCTTCAAACTAGGGGGTCAAGCCCATGATGACACTCTTCAGGTCACTTGTTCTATCTAGGCGGGAAATATGCTGCACACTAACAGCACCTTTCAAGGCAGGTGAAATTGCTGACCTAAAAAAATGTACAGAGAACCTTCACGGCGCGCATAACGGAGATTAAAAAAACACCTCAATTACTAGGAGCGCTTGAGGTTCCTAAAACTGTATTCCCTGGAACGCAGGCGGGAGAGATATATGATTTTTTTACACCTGGAAAATCCTAGAGGGACTAGTACCGAACTTGAAACACAAAAATCTCTCACTACGAAAGCAAAAGACTTGGCAGACGATGCAACATCCCCCCAATGAAAAGCAGGGGTGTCACTAGCACGTTAAGAGACCATACAATAAGTGTCAGGGGCCGGAGACTGTTCAACTGCCTCCCAGCATACATAAGGGGGATTACCAACAGACCCCTGGCAGTCTTCAAGCTGGCACTGGACAAGCACCTAAAGTCTGTTCCTGACCAGCCGGGCTGTGGCTCGTACGTTGGTTTGCGTGCAGCCAGCAGCAACAGCCTGGTTGATCAGGCTCTGATCCACCAGGAGGCCTGGTCACAGACCGGGCCGCGGGGGCGTTGACCCCCGGAACTCTCTCCAGGTAAACTCCAGGTAAACAAGTAGGAATTTGGGACACCTAGGTCGCAAAAAAATGTCCCCCTTCGATACCTACCACTGTCATATCCACAAGTTGCTCTAGACCTATTAATTAAATGAAATATACATCACCAGGAATGCTGGTAAATATATAAATTTGTGGACTGTATATTAAAATTAAAAAAGGATTATAATATATATGCACATTTATATAATAGAAGGAGAATATATCTTAATCATAACACTCACCAATTTGACTGGAGATTAAGTTGTATCATACTCAGAAAACCTCACTGTCTATACATGAAAATAACAACTGGCCAGAGTTATAACATAACAGACTTATCTGAGGTTCCTGGAGCTGTCTTGTCCAGTCGCCTGATATCTCAAGTTATGCAGGAATGCACACCCAACAATTTCGCCTCTTATTTGAGAGGTGTCAGCCCAATTTTAACCTCTAGAGCACGAAAAATTCTTCCTATTATTCACAACGTGTTATTCAATTCAAACAAAATGGCGACTGTGTCTTCTGCGCAGATGCAGGCTTTCCGTTTTCTGACATAAATATTATTAAATACAGTATGGCCATCTATTTACATATAACTACTGTATTTCTGGAAAATATATACAGTATTTTCCACACATACACTTCAGGGTTAAATATTTCACAAGTGCAAAGTTCAGTTTCCAAAAATAAACACGTTGAAATGCCAAAATATTTTATTTTTATAAAGATTTAAAGAAAAATTGTGAATGTCAGTTACAAATCACTAAAACGGGGATTAAAGCAATTTATCAAAATAAGTATTCTTCTTGGTGCATATACAGTGTAAATATTGAGAAAAATCAAGAAAAATTGGCTTCTACTTACAACAAATGCAATAATTGCTAATAAAAAAAACTTCCTGTGTACAAGCACTAATATTCTTAGGAAAATGAAAAACATTCTTTGAAAACAATTGGCATAATTAAAAGAAAAACCTAATGAAAAAATAAAAATATCCATCATGCATATGTTTCTAATGAATCAGTTATTAGAATTTCCTTGTTAACCCTTTGAGGGTCGACAGGCCCTCTCCGAAACTCGTTCTCAGGGTCGGCCAAATTTAAAAAAAAAAAAAATTATTTTCTCTTATGAAAAGATAGAGAATCTTTTCCCGATCATAACGACACCAAAAGTTTGAAATTTGATAGAAAACTTACGGAATTATGCTCTCGCAAAGTTAGCGGTCTCGGCGATGTTTACGAATCGGCGATTTTGCCCACTTTGAGCCCCATTTTCGGCCAATTTCACTGTACTAGTCGACAAAAAACATGAATATTTCGCTAGAACTCCATTTTTTCTATCGAATGGGTGCAAGAAACCACCCATTTATAAATTCATCTATCCAGTACATGTGGTCAGAATTTAGCAATTTTGCCAATTTCACACAAATTTCAAAAGATGCCAATTTCGGAATAGGGTCCAGAATAAACAAAAAAGGGACATTCCTGGCACTAAAATGACATTTCCTCTAGTCATTAGTCTCGTCTCAAGGCCCCTCTTATATTCTTTTTGCTTTCCACTTTGAATTTTTATTCTCACAAAAAATTTAAGATTTACTGTTATGCAGACTACTGCATTAGTGTAAAAAATGGTATAAATATTATTGGTGCACTTGTAAAAGAATATTAGACTCACCAGTTGACGTGTATTGCACGCTTGGCACGATTTGTTTACTTTTGAAGTTTGGTAAAAATCGAACATTTCTGCTATTTTGAGCTCAATTTCAAGGCACCTTTCATTGTAAAACCAGTCAAAATCATCTCAATTTCAGTAATATGTCTTCCATTCTATAAAATGAGACCAAGAAAACTAGAATACAACAATAAATACTATACGAAAATACACTGCAAAGTCGCTGCTTTATTAAAAAAAAATGGAAAAAGTTTTTTTTTTCTCATTATGCAGCGTTTGCTGCAGGATTTTTTTTAGACTGTGCACACTGACCACATAGACCCATTCTTTCATATGAAGGCCTACCAGCTTTCTCCCACTAGATTTGAGGTCGCTAGAATTTATGAGTACTAGTACGTCAAAAACCCCTACGCGTAAGACGTACTAGTACGACGAAAACCCTCAAAGGGTTAAAATTGTCTTTTATCTTTTCACACGTATCAGAGTACAATACAAATCAGCAGAAACTTGTTAACATTATAAGGCTCTGGTGGCCTGGTGGTTAACGCTCTCGCTTCACACGGTGAGGGCCTGGGTTCGATTCCCAGCCAGAGTAGAAACATTGGACGTGTTTCTTTCCACCTGTTGTCTATGTTCCCCATCAGTAAAATGGGTACCTGGGTGTTAGTCGACTGGTGTGGGTGGCATCCTGGGACACTGACCTAAGGAGGCCTGGTCACAGACCGGGCCGCGGGGGCGTTGACCCCCGGAACTCTCTCCAGATAAACTCCAGAATAAGTAAATTAAATTTATCCTTGATTAGAAAGCAAGTGATTAAAAGTAATTATGATTAGTTACATCACATAGGAAAAGTGGCATCTTCTCATATTTAACAGCCAATCCTGGATAATATAGGTTCTAACACTTGTATCTGGCCAGACGCATGGCTGTTTCAGCATCACCTCGACACTTTAACCCAATGCTGGAAGTTGAAACATAATTCAGGTACCTATTTTTTAGATAGGTGAGTGAGTTACGAGTAGGATACCCTTTTGGATGTGGAAAAAGAACACTTGTGTCCACGATGTGATCATGAATAACTCTCAACTTAAGAAGGTCGTTTTCCAGTTCATGACCAACTAGAATTGTGCGTTTTCCAACTAGTGTGAGTAACTTGGCATGAACGTCTCGGAGTCTTGTTGAAACTCCTCGAAATTCTTGCTGATTAAGTCCGGAATGCTATGTGTTGTAGTCGATGATTGGAGCATCAGGCAACAGCAGTGTCTCATACACCAGTTGACAGTTCGAGTCCACAACAGATATTGCCGCCAAACCCAACGCTGCCGTTGTAAACATTTCACAGTCAAGTGCATAAATCGATTCTGCAGTGATACTTTGATTGAGGTTAGTGTTGATAAAACCTGTTAGGTTATTGGGATCAATTTCTCTTGAGACATGCTGTGGAGCAGTTGCACATGGAGCTGAGTTAATAGTCCGATTGCAGCAGCGGTAGTATGGCCTCGTTGTTCGAGAAACATTCATTATGTGATATGCACATGTCTCCCTGGTGACGACCCGGCCTTCGTTGTCTACGTAATATAAAGTGTTGCATCGTTTACAGATGCGGCTCGTGGGCCCAGTAATTACAGGGTGGAAGCTTGTTTCAATGTTATAAAGCTGAGCTTTTCCAGACTGCTGATGAGGACGTGGGAAGAAGCGACGTAGGTAAATCTCAGACAACTCTCGCTTTTGCATCCGCTTGCATAAAGTCACGTCGACTAATGTTGCCATTCTCCAGATATCGTCTATACGATTTTTATCTGTCGGAAAAAAATAAAAATAACGCGTTAGATTATTTATGATATACGAGAGAAAGTAATTCTTAAGAAATAGTAACTCCAACTTTGTAGAAACTGAACCTATGAGCCTTATGTAGCTACTGGACCTTCTGTACCTACTGTTCCCTTAGTACAAATAACTATGGTATCCTCATGGTCCTGCTGGATTCACACATATCCAGGCAAACATAGCTAATTTTAATTCCCATTATGTAACTTTTCTACAGAGGAGCGGCAGCATATTGCTGATGTATCCAACTTTGCTTATCAATAAAAAATAATGAAGTTCTTTGCGTTAATATTGACTCAAGATGCTTCGTTGGCAGAACCTTGACTGCAGGCCGCCGCTGCGGCTGTTTTGTAGACCAATATACACTATTCTCAAAGGAATCGTAAGTTAAAAAAAATACATTAACAGCTACATTAATCAATCAGTACACAAACAAAACAAGATCACCACACGGGAAACTTAAAAACAAAAAAACTAATTCTATTTCTTTGCAAGATTACATTAAGATTATGAAATTACAATGAGTTGCAGTGCAAAGAGCCACTATCATGCCTAGGCATTATGGGCAGACTTAAGCCAAGATCGCAAGTTCTGCCTATTCGGCACGACATATATATATATCTATATATATATATGTGAAGCGTGGGTGATGAATGTTGCAGCGAGGAGAAGGCTGGAGGCAGTGGAGATGTCATGTCTGAGGGCAATGTGTGGTGTGAATATAATGCAGAGAATTCGTAGTTTGGAAGTTAGGAGGAGGTGCGGGATTACCAAAACTGTTGTCCAGAGGGCTGAGGAAGGGTTGTTGAGGTGGTTCGGACATGTAGAGAGAATGGAGCGAAACAAATGACTTCAAGAGTGTATCAGTCTGTAGTGGAAGGAAGGCGGGGTAGGGGTCGGCCTAGGAAGGGTTGGAGGGAGGGGGTAAAGGAGGTTTTGTGTGCGAGGGGCTTGGACTTCCAGCAGGCATGCGTGAGCGTGTTTGATAGGAGTGAATGGAGACAAATGGTTTTTAATACTTGACGTGCGTTGGAGTGTGAGCAAAGTAACATTTATGAAGGATTCAGGGAAACCGGCAGGCCGGACTTGAGTCCTGGAGATGGGAAGTACAGTGCCTGCACTCTGAAGGAAGGGGTGTTTAATGTTGCAGTTTAAAAAACTGTAGTGTAAAGCACCTTCTGGCAAGACAGTGATGGAGTGAATGATGGTGAAAGTTTTCTTTTTCGGGCCCCCCGCCTTGGGGGGAACCCGGCCGGTTATAAAATAAAAATATAATATATATTATAATTTTTAAAATATATATATAATATAATATATATATTATATAAAATTTTAATTTTAAAATATAAATATTCAAGTTTTTTTTCGGGGGGGTCCCTTCCGTTTGGGGCCTTCCGGGGGGCCCCTTCCTTTGGGGCCTTCCACTCCCCCTTTCCCCTCAAGGACCACACTGGGGTCCCTTTTTCACACCTATGTTACTTCCTTTTCCATGACCTCGCCTCGAGACTCCCCTCACCCTTGACCCCCCCCAAAACCCCCGCCACGACCCCCCCCCTTCGCGACCCCCCCGCCGCCCCGCGCCCCCCCCCCCCCCGCCCGCCCCCTTCGCCCCCGCCCCCGCCTTCTGCGCCCTTTTCGTGGGTCTCCGATCGCCCCCCCGCCTCGAATTTTTTTTTCCGATTTTTTTCAAATTTTTTTTTTAATTTTCATTTTTTTTACTCTCCATCTCCTCGATAAATTTTTGAGGTTCCCCCTCTCATTTTCACCCCCCCCCCCAAAATTTTCTCGAAATCAAATCCCATCTCCTCATCAAGTTTTTTGGATTCCCCCCTAGGGGGTTTTTCAAATTTCCCCAAATTTCCTCGACAAGTTTTGGAATCCCCCCTGGGGGGTAAGCAGCTTACTACGGGCCCAATGAAGGGGTTTCCCCTCGCGGTCAGTGACGTCACTGTTGCCCAGCCACAGTTGAATTTTTGCTCCCCTTTTTAGTTAATAAGGGAGCTAGTTGACGCACCCAAAACAGGCGAATTTGTCCCCTTTTATTCACAAGTTAATAAGGGACATAGTACCACATCATATAAAAAAAAACTTTTTTCATCACAAAAAACACATTCGGGAAAAACACAAATACACAATTTTTTTTTTTCATTATTTTTAACAGCCATTACATTTCTGAATAAAAAACAAATACAATTTCTTTGAAAAAAGCTACAATTCATTAATAAAACAACGTAGAAATTTTTCTTCTTTTGTAGAATTTCTGTGCATTTTGTTCGGGCATCACTTTTCCCACGTTATCCCAAAAAACTTGGGGGGGAACTGGGGGATAAAAAAGGGGGGAACCCTTCATCCGGGGGAAACTGGTGATAATTTGGGGGGGAAGCTGGGGGAAAATTTTAGGGGGAACCCTACCAAACATGAATTGGTTTTGGGAATTTGTCAAAAAAATTTCCATCTCGCTCCATACCATTTATCGCAATAACAACACTAAACATTCTCCACTCAATGAGACTGGGAGAAGGTCGACAGGGGTGGATCTCCTCCTAACAATCCCCCCAACTCGCAAATCATTTGCTCCTGCGATTTGATTTGCGCGAATAATTTTCCAACAACCGCTTATATCGCATCGGGCAAAGAAAAAAAATTTCTCGATTAGAAAAAAAAACATACTTTAATTGCATTAAAAGTTTTTTGGTTATCATTACACTTCAAAATCTTTTATTGAAAAAAGTTTTTTTCCAATTTTAGAAAAAAGATTCACCAATAATGAAAAAAAAATCACTTACCATTTACCCAGGGGTTTATTCCGACATACCGGGGAGCAGTTTTTCTCTCCTCCTCGCAGACACCTCCAAGGGATACTGAATGGATTCACCTTGACCCAACTTAAATACAGTAGATCAAAGATTTGACCCAGCACGGACTTTATAGCACGTTTACCTTTCGCCCCCCCTCTAATTTTCGCCCCGCCTTAAACCCTCTACCCCACCGAAATTAAAATTTTCCATATTTTACACAGTTTTTTCAAAATTTCCATTAAATTTATTACAAATACACTTAAACATGGGGTATTTTGAAATCTCATAGCATATTTCTTTATAAATTGGTCTTTCTTAATTTTTTCTCCCAAAAAATTTTTAAACAAATATGGATAATTTTCTTTAAACATAATTTTTTAAACTTATACACAAAATAATAGCATATAAGTCGAAAACAATATTTTTCATTTTGAATTTGATTAATACCATCATGAAATTTCTCTTGTATAAAATTTTCTCATATATTTTTGTAAATTTTTTTAAATCCCCCCGAAACTATTAAATATAATAATTTGTTTTTTTTCACATATATAGTAATCCAAAAGCCATTTTTTTCATCTTGATCTTTTCAAAAATTTAATGAAAAAAATTACCGGGGTTTACTTTTTCCTCATAAAAACTTCATTTTATATTATTTGCGGCAAAAAAAACCCAAAAAAGGCATATCTCCCGTAATGTTTAAAGGCAAAAAATTTTTTTTCACATTCATGATCTTACCGCTAGCACTATCACTTTTTCTTTTTTTCTTTTTTTAAAACGCATTAGTTTCACCAAACATCAGACAAATTTTTCTCATTTTGGGTTTTACCAAATGTCATATCTTTTCTCAAATTCCCATTTTTCTCGACAGATATAGCTTTCTTAACCTGTTCACTTCTCGGGTCAACACCAAATATAGTTCTCCTTGAGAAAAACTCTTAATGTAATCAGAGACAGTCTCCAAACCCAGAGATTTAAAGGGACGTAAAAAAACCTCTCCGGGTAGGAACTTACAGTCAATATTAAGAATCATTTTCTAAAATTAATTGCCCCCCGAAAATTTTCAAATCTTCATGTTAAAAAATATAAGGGATTAAAATTATATCCCATCATATCTTCATATCAACAATATAAAAAAATATCTTATCGGTATACTTTTTCCCCAAAAGGAAATTTCGGGGATCATTGGTTTGATTAAAATGTCAAATATATATTTAAAAAATGTCTCTTGAACAATACACCCCCTGGGGTTTTTGCCCCTCATGCTTAATTAAAATCAATTAATCTTTCGAAGGGAATAACTTATCACCATAATTAATGAATTTAATATTATATTTTAATTTTTTTCCGCTTAATGGAGTCATAATTCCCCATGCGGTGAATGCTTTAAACTAAAATCGACATTCGAACTACCAGTAATTCTTTAAAACTACTCACTCCAGCATAAAAGGGGAAAAAAGTATTCATTTCTTCGTTAATTTCCTTCGTCTTTCTTAATACACTAAATCACTGTTGTAATAGTACTATTTGCTGGCCCTTATTACAAAAATGCTATTTTTCCCCAATGTATCAATTTTGTGGGGTAAATTTTAAGCATTTAATAAACCCTATATAAAAAAAGGGTTTGATTCTTAAGTTGTTCTTTGAGATAAAAACACAAAATTTTGAATATTGTCTACTTATAGATTCCCAAAAATATGCCTTATCACCTCCCAGTGCACTCCCTCCTCATTTGATAATTTATGTTCTTTTTCCAAGCCAACTCGTTAAATCTAAAAAATGACCTTTAAATTGTATTCTAAATTCGAGAAATTTAAAACAATCCTTGTTTTACTGGTAATACTTCACGGGGCGCCCAAAGCGAAAATGGGGTTTCAATAAGGTTGCCCGGGTAATTTTGGGAACCCATCATTATGGAATGAAATAAGGGGGGAGGGGGGCGTTGACCCCCGGGGTTAACATAGACACCACCGACAAACTAACAATATGACAGTTAAAAAATAAAAAAAAATTTAAATTAAATTTTCCATTTCTTTTTTTTTAAAAATTTCAATCGTTTTCAAACCAATCTTTCTATTTCCCCGGGATAAAAACTTTTTCCCACCCCCTTTTCAATTTTTTTCTACGCCCTATTTCTCGCAGAATTTTTCAATGCAATACCATTATTAACACGT